ACTGTTTGATTTTAAGATTGTTGTTGTTTTTGCTATGTGCCATCGAGTCGCTTGCTACTCATAGTGACCCTATATACAACAGCCCTAAAACCTGCTCTATCCCTTGCCAATCTTATTGTCTCTGACACACTTATTCCCATGACCCCAGTGACTGAATCAGTCCATCTCATCAAGGGTCTTCCTCTCCTGCACTGTCCCTCCACCCTCCCAAGCATGATGTCCCTCTCCAAGGACTCTTTGCAACATGTCCAAAGTATGTCAGATGAAGCTTCAGAATCCTTGCTTCCAAGGAACAGCCTGGCTTCACTCTCTCTAGGACGAACTTGTTTGTTCTCCTAGCAGTCCATGGGTCCATGGTATGTTCGATACTCTTCTCCAGAACCACAGCTCAAAGGCATCAACTCTCCTTCTATCATCCCTAGTCATTATCCAGTTCTCTGACGCACAGCAAATAATGGCAAAGACCATGGCCTATATCAGGCGCACCTTAGTCTCCAGACTGACATCATTGCTCCTCAGTACCTTGGAGAGGTCTCTGACAGCAGACATTCCCAATGCAATTTTGTCTTTTAATTCCCTAGCTGCTAGTACCAAGAGTGTTGATGTAGAGCCTAGCAAACTGAAGCTGTCAACAATTAGAGGGTATTTTTTTATTTAAAGTTTAAAGATACTCTCAGAGAAACAGTTACAGGGGTTTACCCAACTTCAGCAGCTACAGAAAATCTAAGCCACTGGGAAGTTTTAATTGTGTTCTACATTCCCCCCCACCCCCGTCTGATCAGGAATTTACAATCAATTCTTTGATCAAAGTGCTTTATGGTAATGGGGAGGAACCTCTCAGACAAGGAAGATGAAGACAGCTACACAACTCAAGGAACAGTCAATGTCAGAGTGGTACCTATAGAAACTGTAGAACTGGTGTATGTTTTAGTGTTTCTATCCACAAGAACAACAATAAAATAAGCAAAATTAATTGGGGGGGGGGGAGATGTAGAAGGATAAGGAGGAAAAGGACAATGAGAAGAAATAGAACCACGGAAAAACTCCAGGTGAGTATGAGGTACAATTCCTTAAACTCACTTAGGAAGGTGGGATGAATAAACACCCCTATTTTCCAGGTGACGCAGCAAGGACTCAGTGAGGTCATCTGACCAAGGTTATTGTGTTAAGAAGTGGCAAGTTAGACTCAAATCCAGCCTTTGCTGGCCCTAGTCTGGCAGAACGTCTTTCAGCAAAACTACGTGAATTCTTCCTGACACAATTACAGTCCAAAACCTAATAATTTGGGGCAGGCTGCACAGCAAGGCTGGCTTCTGAATAAGAGTTAATTCTAAGGTTAGTGCCGTCAGCCTCATCCAGACAGCTGTGCCTTCAGGAGGGGCACAGGTCTCTAGTGAACGCAAAGCCTGCTACTGATGCTGCCAAGAGGTAAAGCCATCCGCCCCGCCAAAGAGCTCCTGTCCTCTCTTCTTTCACAGAAGGGAGGGTACTTATCACAGCTGTGGCCAAGCAATTCCAGCGTTCACCCAAAGCAACAATCATCGAACTAGAGCTGTCTAAGTTCAGGAGGGGACAGACACCGAAAAAAAAGAAAGGAAATGGTGTGTGCTTCTGTGTGCTTAATTATTAAAACAATACCATTCAAGACAATGTATAAGAATAAAGATCACGGAAAGACAGCAAACACGTAGAGTCAGACCCAACATCTTGGGAAATTCTGTCATTTCAAAGTAACACTAAGAGGATTAATTTCTCTATAAATATGCTGAGTCAATTAATATCTGAAAACAAACAAATTAAGATTCTTACCACACATCACACACCAAGATAAATTCCAAAGATATGAAACATTGTAAAAATTGGGAAACCAAAAAATAAAATGTGAAGAAAATATAAAAGACTTTTTTCCTAAGATGAGTGCATTTCTTTCACAACAGAGAAAATAAAGGGGGGGGGATAAAGAAGATTGAAAAATTTAAAGGTACACAGGTTTTTAAATCCGTATATTAAGAAATATGATAAAACATAAAAATAAATTATAAAGGAGAGAAATATATGCAAATATTGCAAATCACTAATATACAAAGAGCTCCTAGAAATGAGCAAGATAAAATATGAATAAAATAAAAAATACAGACAAGATGCATATACGTTCTTCAAAGCTACATCATGAATGTGAGGTGGAGATGACTCGTGGGTGTAGGAGCTTAGGGATGTCAGTGCACCGTGCCATCAGGTCAAGGACAGATGCTGGCTGGACCTGCAGGCGGCTCCGGACCTTTGGGGCTCACTGTTCGTGGGGTCGAGTGTACCGACTTTCTCGGCTGGTGCTTTCAGCGGTCTGGGCTATGGGCACGTTTCCGCTCGCTGGGCACTGCTTGTTATGACAGTGTGACTGGTTTCTTCCACGTAAACCCTCCATCCTCGTTTTTAGGTGCCACTGGGTACAGCTCACAGGGACCCTATGAACCACAGATCTGAACTCTGTCCTATCGTGACCCATCCTTCTCATCCTCAACACACGCGCCCATTGCCACAGACACCCACCAATACGCGTCATTAAGGGCCTTCCTCTCCTTTGCTGGAAAAGCCTCTCCTAACAACGTTCAAAACACGTGAGACGAAGCTTCATCAACTTTGCCTCTAAGGAACGTTCGTGTTGCACTTTCTCCAACACAAATCTGTTGGTTCATTTGCCAGGCCATGGAATAACACAACTCAAATGCACTGATTCTTCTTCTGTCATCCTTATTCACTGTCTAGTTCTCAGCTGCATAGCAGGTGGCTGGATAGACTGTAGCCTGAACAAGGTGCACCTTAGTCTTTAGGCTGACATCATTGCTCTTCAGGACTTCTGCCAGAGTGCTAACAGCAATCTTCCCCAGTACTCTCTGTCTTGTTCCCATCCAAGCACGTAGCCTCCTCACTGGGTCCTCAGGCTCAACGTCATCTCCTACAGCACTCAACTGGACACTGCCAAGGTCACCACACTCAGAGCTGGCAGGCTCCCCTGCACATTCCAAAAGCGAAGGGGGTGAGTCTACCGAGTATTATGTTGAGTAAAGTATCTGAGTCTCCTAAAGACAAATACAGCATATGGCCATTACTGTAAAAATGGATAATTCATGGGTCGTGTACAAATGTCCAAAAGGGGAAGTGGGAAAAGGGAAGAGATGGAAAGGATGAAGAACGGAAATTACGAGGCCGGCAGAGTTTGCTGTGCACATAGAGGTGGGAGGTGAAGGGAGGAGAGATCCAACGGGACAAAGTAAAAACGGTTTCTAATGGCCCCAGATCCATGATAACTAATTGTGGAAAAGACAATGTGCATGAGCGATGTGAAGAGACACAGTGTATGCAGAGGACTGCACAAACACCAGGAGGAAGAAGGAAACGCGATGTAAGCTAAAAAAAAACACCATAAAGCAAAGGTGGGTCCAGGGGCTCCATCACCCTCTATGTTCTACAGTCAAAAAGCACTGCTGGACTTGCTTTATCTTACACAGGAAATTCCAACACGTTGACAGAATTGTGCTAAATAACAATAAAATCCACAGATATGCATGTATTTGTATCATTTATCTATCTTATTCCATAAGCTATTGACAAGTCCTTCACATAGCTGTGGTTTTTAGTAAAGTGGCATTTTTAAAAATTCTTGGACAAAGGTCCTATGCATGGTGACAGAGAGCACTGAGTCCTGCCCTCCCTCCCTCCCTGCCACCGAGTGAAAACCAGGTGACCCTCCGATGGGTTTCTGGAGGCTGCATATTTCAAGGGAAGAGAATGCCCACCTCCCTCCAGAGGAGCCGCTGGTGGAGTCAAGCCTGAGAGAGGGGAGACCCCTGTGACCTCCAGAAGCCCCTCGGTACCGTAGGTGTTAAGTGCCACTGAGCCAATTATGACTCATAGTGACTCTACGAACAATGGCTCGAACTCTGCCCTTTGCTGTGCCATCCTCATCATCATGACGGTAACACAATGAATGGATAAATAAATTCCTCAATACGATGGACTGACAAGGTCTGCAGCAACGGACTTAAGCAGAACAGTGGTCACGAGCATGGCCGGGACTGGGCGGGGTTCCAGCCTACAGTCTGTGGGGCCGCAGCACCAAGTGGTGGGGTGGTGGCCTGTCCTCCCAGTATAAGCCTGCTTCCTCCTCTGCATCCAGCCCTAGTCCACTGCCCACTCACACCTCCTCCCCAGAGCCTCCAGTCACCTCCCCGTGACCACAGCACTTACACTGATAACCTGTAGGCTCCACCGTCCTGGGTACAGATTACAGACCCCTTGAAGACATGACTGTCCCTTTACCAACTTTTTACCCCAGAACCTGCCTTCATGGCACACAGCAGGGACTCAACCAATGGTTCTCAAATGCAGAAATGAGAAAGCCACTCAAATACGCTTCTCTGACCAGGCCAGCTGCCCGAAGACTGTTCATACAGGCAGACATTGGGGATACCACGGGCTCTCCTTCAGATATCCACAACAAAACAACTATCACAACAAAGGAGTCACGAGCATGGTCTTGCTTCTTGCTGCATATGGAAGCTCTGGTTACACTCTGAAATGGTTTGAGGACGGCCAGAATGTGGCACGGACACGCAACGTGGGCATGTGCTGTTGGGATTATGTCACCAACAGACGTGCTGGACGCAAGTGCGCAATCTGTGGGGAACAGCACAAGTCCCGGATGCCCGACGCAGCTTCGACAGTGAGAACTGTGTGTAAATAAGCCAGGCCAAGTGGGGTGCTGCCCTGATGAGCCTCGGGCCCCAGGCGGGGAGACCTGGACACCCCCACAGTGCAGGATCAAGGCTTCCTGTGGACCTCTGTCTCTGACAAAGCAGCGTCCCTCCCTCGCTCATGCCACTATATACAAGGCAGGTGCCTGCTAGTGTCAGGTTCTGCTGCAGGTGCTGAGACCACAGCCGTGAACAAGACCCCCGGCCCAACAACAGCTTCCCAAAAACACCATTTAGAGGCTAACTCACCGTCTGCCATGTGCAGGAGCTTGTGGCTCTTCAGCGTCCCCTTGGACTTGAACTTCTTGCCACACATGTCACACAGGTGCGTCTTCTCAGTGCTGTGCCGGTTCATGTGCGCCTTCAGGTTGCTCTTGCTGCGTGTGGCGTACTCACACAGTGAGCACTTGAAGGGTTTCACACCTGCCAGGAAGCAACGGCAACAGGTGTGACACGCGTGTGTGCCCTTCGTCCTCGTCTGCCTCGGTTCTCCGTGCCAAGCCTCTCTCTGATCCCACCAAGCACAAGTCTCCCATCAACGTTTCCACATCCTGCCTCTCCTCGCTGGAGAGCTCCCCGTGCGGGGCAGTCCTCACAGATGCAGCCATCGGAGTCGATGCACCGACAGCCAGCAACACGAGAAAGCTCACAGGATGGTACCACCGTGGGGCTGGCAGCATCTCGCATGTGAACTTGACCACTCATTTCAACACCAGCTTAGGGACAGATTTCAAATGCTCTGACCACCACAGAGGAGAAGACCACGAAGACTGAACCCGGACCCACAATGGCACCTTTATACTCTTATCTTATTGATCAGGCAGCTCTTCTAAAACATTTCAATAACTTCAATAATTCCAGAATGCCCGGGCCAGGAGAAGAGTCAACGCCTCTGACGTAGGGAATCAGTAAAGAGCACTGACTAGTGTGGGCTGTCAGAAGAATGAGTAAGTCTGTCTTTGAAGAAGTCCAGTCATCACGCTCCTTAAAAGGAAGGCTGGTGGGACTTCATCTCACAGGTATCAGGACAGACAGTCCCTGGAGAAGGACCTCAGGCTTGGTAATGCGGAGGGACAAAGGGACCGTGGAGGCCCTCAAGGAGAGGGACTGACACAGCAGCTCCAACAACGGGCTCCAACACAGCAGTGGCTGGGGGGGGGTGGGCGGACCAGGCCGTGTTTGACCTCTTGTACATGAGGTCATGTGAGCTTAGGACTTTTGAAAATGGCTTTTCTAGCCACTGCCCTAGACACCTCTGGGGGTGTGGTCTCCAGTTGCTTAAAAGGAAGGCACACAGTTCATTGCTGGTCAGTGTCTTGTAAATCATCAACGGCTGTGGGGCTAGCCCAGGAGGGAGAGATGGCCAGGCTGTGGAGAGACGTAGCCTGACAGACGGCTGGAGACGGAGCCAGGACTGCTCTGAGACAAGGCTTACTGGAGGAAACCAGAGGCTTATTTGTGTTGTTGGCCTAAACCAGGTCTTTCACTGTGTGATAGCCTTTGCCTTCCCTGCCACCCTTCAACCTATTTCCTTAATAAACCCTACAGTTTTGGCAATAAATATCAGCCCCTATGATGGACAGAAGTAGATACAGGAGTGTGGAAACGGAGGGGCGTTGTCTGACCGTGGAGCTATTATTCTGGTCCTGTGGATGTTGCTGAGGGGGACAGTTCTCTGTGGAGTTAACAGAAGGCAGACCTGGCCTTCTCCATGCTGCATGTGCTCATTGTACAGGTCACTATGAGCAGCAACTGACCAGACGGCACTCACACAGGCTGCAGACACACCATCTGGCACCATCACAGAGAAGCCAAACCCTAACGGTTGCTTTCACCACGACCGTGAGGAGAGTAACGTGAGCGCACGGACTGTGAGGCTGGACGTGCTCCCACTCACGCCCTCGCCCTCCCACCGCCAGAGCCCCGTGCTCAGGTCCTCGGCTGGCGTGTACAGGTGGTGTAAGGAGATGTGCGTCCAGATTGCAGCAGAGGTGCACAGAGTCGCACACCGAGCACTGACTGCACTGACCTTCGTGAGCCCAGATGTGACGCTGCAGGTCTGAGCCGTTCTTCATGAAATAGAAGTCGCAGTAGGGGCATTTCATGGCTCTCTTTCCTATGAGGCCTTTCAGCTGCACCTTCCTCCCGAGAATCTCAGAAATCGTGCTCATGGAGACCTCTGGAAGGAGACAGGACAACCATCACACACGGCCGAGGACTGCTCCAGCCGCGGTGGACGGATGGGAATGAACCTCAGGGCGCAGCTGAACCTACTGGTCAAGCTCTGCGTCCCTGAAGGGGCAAAGGGAGGGGGTCACGGCTCAGTGTCACGGGATGGAATTCTTGACTAAAGACTGAAATCTTTTGTCTAATCTAAACCATTTCAGACTGTAATCAATCCAATCAGAGATGAGTATCTATTAACAGTATCAGGACGGAGAGATCGCATCAACAGGTGGCAACTGATACAAAATGTGGTGTTTCCTCCAACAAATTATGATTACAGAGGGATAGGGTGAAAGGGCTCTGGGAGACTAAAAGAAACTTCAGTCAAAAAAACTCAAAGCTAAGTGTGTGGGTCTCGGTTCGGATGAATCAATTGTCAAATAAATAATCTTTGTGTGAACCCGGAAAATTCGCAAGTAGACTAATGCTAGGTGTTAGTAGAGAATGACTCTTAATTCTGGTTTTTTAACTATGATGGTCAGAGTGCGGGGGGAGGGGGAGGGGAATTCATGCATGTTAGAACTTTTCTGTGATTTCATTTTCCTCCATGAATTATCATTTAAAACCACTGAGGCAAATCCCTGCCTCTGGGAGCAGACACAAGACAAAGACAAACTGGCCAATTGGACATGCGGGAAGCAAGAGGTGTGCCCAGCTCACCTGTAACGCATCTGTACTGGTGCGTAACGGTGTCTGCTCCCCTGACCCGGCTCAAGGGATGGTTCTAATGGCTCTCAGCCACCATTGTGGGGGACATGGTGATAAATGACAGATGTCTGGAGCTCTGGGAGGGGTCAGGCAGCCCTGCAGGAGTATATGGAAGGGCCTTACCCAGACCAGGAGTCACAGATGACTTTCCAAGGACAAGGTTACAAGGGAGAAGTGAACTGTGTTAATGAATTAACACAAATCCACCAGGAGAAAAGGAGAGGAAAAATGTCCAGGCAATGGGGACAGAAGTGACAGAGCAGGGAGGGCCAGGGAGCACCCACACCTGAGGAACACGAGGGATGAAGGGACTGGGTTCTCAGCCTGGGAGGAATGAACACCCCTTCACTAGCCACCACTTTGGGAACACACACATGGCCCAGGTGGAACATACCAGGGCTGGTGAGGGTGTAGTGGGATCCATGTCAGAGCTCTCTTTAAATGGGGGCACGAGGGAAGGTTCAGGGGAAAAAAATTATCTGAAGATCAGGGAAATGTGAACAATAAACAAAGACTTATACGATGAAATCCTCAGCCCTAAACAGGTATTTCCCTTGAATTGCTGAGGTCTTCTTCCCTCTTCACTTTCACTTAATGCAAGTGATGTACTTGAAAGTAAACATACGCATTTTTTAACTTAATCTTCTGCTTTAAAATGCATAACCTTACCGGGATGGTTGGTCTTGATATGTGACTTTATCAATCGATCTTCTGAAAAAGACTTTTCACACACAGGACAAGAATAACTCCTTTTGTCCTTAATAGAAAGAGAGTTTAATCAATTGACTGTCTCTTTTAAATTTGAACTCTGTGGGGAATAACCATCCCCTCCAGCACTCCCATCATTGTCATCACCACCACCACATCCACCACCACCACCATCATCATCACCACTGCCATCATTCCCACATCAACACCATCACCTCCATTATCACCACAATTACCATCATCATTGCCACCACTGCCACATCAACATTAACACCATCATTATCACAACAACCATCATCATCACCACCACCACCATCATCATCACCACTATCATCGTCAGCACCACCATCATCCCCACATCAACACCACCACCACCATCACCACCACAATTATCATCATCATTGCCACCATGGCCACATCAACACTAACACCATCATTATCACAACAACCGTCATCATCACCACCGCCATCATCCCCACATGAATACCACCACCACCATTATCACTACCACTATCACCATCATCACCACCCATCATTATCACCATCACCACCACTGCAGCCACACCTAACATCACCATCATAACTACCATCATCACCACCACCATCATTAGCATCATCCTTGTCAATATCACTATCACCACAACAACCAACATCATCACCCTCACCATCCTCACTGCGACGGCCAGCACCACCTTCATCATTATCACCACAATTACCATCACCATGACAATAACATCATCATGACCATCACCATCACTATAACCACCAGCATCATCACCAATGCCATCAGTACCATCACTATCACCACCACCATCACCACCACAACTATCATCAGTGCTCCTGCCATCATTACCAACACCACCAACATCATCACCAGCACTACCTCATCACTACCACTACCACCACCACCACCACCATTTCACCATCACCACACCACCAATATCATTATCAACACCATCATTACCATCAACAACACCACCATCACAACCAACATCATTACCAATGCCACCATTTCCACCATAACCACCACCAGCAGCATCACCCATCATCACCACCACTGCCATCAACACATCACCACCACCACCATCACCATAACAACCAACATCACTACCAATGCCATCATTACCACCATCACCACCACCAGCAGCATCACCACCACTGCCATCATCAACACATCAACATCACCACCATCACAACTCTACCTTATCATCATCCCAATCACTGCAACAACCATCATCACCATTCTCACCATTAGCACCATCACCATCTCTACAACAACTAACATCATCACCACCACCATCATGACTACATCACTACCACCACTGGCACCACCTCAATCACTATCTTCCCCATCATCACTACAACCACCACCATCATCACTACCATCATTACATCAATACCACTACCATCACTACCTGTCGTTATCACCAGCACCACCACCATTAATATCTCCACCATAACCACCAACACCACCATCACTATTATTACCGTCACCACCACAACCAACGTATCACCACTAAGATCATACCATATCAACACCACCATCACCTGCACTACCCACATCACTATCACCATCATCACCACCATCACCACCACCATCACCAACACCTCACCACTGCCATCACTATCATCAACACCACCACCACTACAATGACAATATCATTACTGTCATCATCACTTAGAAGCAGGAGTGGCATCCACTTCCTAAATAGCATGCCTTCAGAAACTCTATGAACTTTGATAAATGTTGGTAGTTGTCGAGCGGCTTCGGGTCTTTTGTTCATAGGATCGTTATGAGTCGTGCTCGCCTCAAAGACAATCAACAACAACATCATCACCACCACCATCACCACCATTCATCATCACCACCAAATACATCATCAGTACTACCACTATCACAACACCCATCATCACGGCCACCATGAATACCATTAGCCATCACCTTTACCATTATCAACACGACTACCACCACCGTCACCACCATTCATCATCACCACCACATCCATCATCAGCACGACTGCCATCACCAACACCACCTTTATCACCATACCACCATCAGCAACAGTAACAGTCGCATCAGAGCTACATGTGCAGTGTAATACAGTCCATATTTTAAAGTATGATGACATGTTAATTTCCACCTGGCTCCGCACAGCTCAGGGAGCGCACGGAGGCAGATAACACCAGCTCCATTTCAAAAGAGAGGGATTATCCAGAGTCCTTACAAGGACTTGTGGTGCCTTGTCCCTCTATGTCTACCTTTGAAAGTATTTTTCCCCAATAAATCTTGCTCTTGCTTTCACTAAAGAAGGAAAAACAAAACAAAACAAAACAAAACAGAGAGGGATGGAACTGATCACGTTCCATGAATCAAGCTCATTGTGGGGCTTGACTTCACAGTAGAGCCAGCTCCGCCCCAGCAGTCAATACATTATATGTACGGGATTTTCATGGAATTTCTTCAATGTGAGACTCACAAGCAGTCTTGAAAGGATATATTACAGACTGGGAAATCAAGGTCCGGGGATGAGCCCCAGGTCTTCAAGGATGAGCCAGCATCTACAGGGAGTGCGTGAGTCCCTGCCTAGGATGCCGCCTTCAACGCTTAGTTTGACCCACTGGAGTCATTTTCTCTATCTGGGAGAAGTCACGGCTTTAGTCCATCTGCCTCCTCTTACGAGCTAACTTTCTGGCCACCTCACTTTCCAACTCCCTCACTTTTTGGCTATTTTACATCAAGGTACCACATGGCCACTGTCCTACCAACTACGCAGAGACCCAAGTCCCTATCCTGCAAGGTAATCACACTGACCAGTTAATCAACAGCACCAGGCTGCCCACCCAGCCCACGGCACACGCTCTGAACAGAGGTTCTGGCTTCTCCAAGTACCTTACCACCTGCTTCACTGTCCCTGCCCCTTTCGGGTCACCTGTTCCTGAGTCAGCATGTGCAGACACATGTGTCCCCCACACTGCACCCTGGAATAATGCCCTGGACCCACGGGCCCCCCAACCTCAGGCTCTCAGCATTACCAGCCCCAGGTGCCCTTGTCATCAGTCCTGATGGAGGCAACTAGAAGGGCTTTGAAAGAGTTTACAGTTATCTCCCCAGAGCCTCTGCTATTTGATTTTTATTTCTTTTAATCTCTGACCATCTGAAAGCAATTTATCTCAGTGCTTGTCAGGCCCTCTTATTTCTTGATGCCTTTGAAGATTGTCCGAAGGACACAGTAGGAAAGGGTGCTGGAGGAAGGTGGGCTCCTAGAACTCACTTATTTGTTTGGAAACCTTGGCTCTGTGCTGGAGATGAAAATTCAAACTGGCACAGCAAGCTGAGATCAGGGAGGCTGAGGGGGACCCCCACCGGATGGGAGAGGGACACTCAGGCAGCAATGACCATGAAGTGCCCTGGGCCTGAGGGTTCACTCCCTGCCACGGGACCAGCCTTCAGACCCACACAGTGTCTTTAACAGAGGAGCCAGCCAGAAAGAACCATGGGACCACGGACCCAGCACTCTGGCAGGGTGCACAAAAGAAGGTTCTGGACAAAGGGAGGGAAAAAGTAGAACAAAATTCTAAGTCATAAAAAGACCAGACTTACTGGTCTGATAGAGACTGAAGGAACCCCTGTGTCCCCTAGGCACCTTTCAAGCCTGTCCCTGAGCCCACCTGCCGAGCTCACCCTGCAGCCCAAGGCCACACAGTAACACCACTGAACAGTAACACCGCAGAACAGTAACACGGCCAAACAGTAATACTGCAGAACAGTGGTAACACAGCTGAGCAGTAACACCACAGAACAGTAACACGGCTGAACTGTAGCACCGCAGAACAGGAACATGGTTGAACTGTAGCACCGCAGAACAGGAACATGGTTGAACTGTAGCACCGCAGAACAGTAACACGGCTGAACTGTAGCACCTCGAGAAGTCTGCTCCTCAGACCATCAACCACGTGACACTGTCAGGGCAGCACTTGGTCCAAAACCAGCTCAGAAGGCAGGAAGGGACAGGAGAGGACAAATGAAAACAGGAAGCCCAAGGAAGAAATGGGAAGAGTGCTGTCGGTGCAGTTTTTATTGTTATCACATACACTGCTGAATGGGCCAGGACCATACCCTGACCACAATAAAAGGTCCCAGCTAAAAAATAAAATGAGGATGGGCTGGGGTAGCAACAGCAGCCGTCCAGACTTGGGGTACAGGGCTGAGCACTAAGGGCTCCAATCCTGGAAAAGACTCCCTCCCTCCCGGGGTCTGAGCCTCAGAGGGGGTGCTGGCCCACACGGCACTGGAGAAGTGTCACCTCTGAGCCGTAACTGCTAAGAGATGTCTGCTTTAGCAAGCTGTTCTTTTAGGAACTATCTCAGTGGATCAGACTGATAATAGCAACTAGAAAGGTTAGACAAGAGAAGCTGATGTGGTGGGAGGACTCATCAAAGGGGAGGGAACATGGCTGCAGCACATGAGTGAGAATGACCGGGGAATGTAATCAAGGCCACTGGGCCGGACCCGTGGAGACTGTGAACTGCTAAGTAAAGGCATCTGACTATGTGCATCATAACACATTATATCTAACAGTGAGAAGAGTAGGAATCTCAGAACAATTCATGTGCTTATGAGAGACCTACACATAGACCAGGAAGCGGTTATTCAAACAGAACAAGAGAACCCTGCAGGTTTAAAATCAGAAAAGCTGTGCATCAGGGCTATAGTCTTTCTCCACACCTATTCAATCTATATGCTAAGGAAATTATCAGAAAAACTACACTATAACAATGTGGAACCAGAATTGGACAAGCCTCAACAAACTATGACATAGGTGACAGGACTTTGTTTGCAGAAAATGAAGACGACTTGAAGCGCTTACTATAGAAGATCAAAGACTACAGCCTTCAATATGGATTACGTTTCAACTTCATCAAGAAAACAGCCTTACCACTGGACCAAGAGGCAACATCATGATAGAGAAAAGACTGAAATTGTCAACTATTTGATGTTACAGGATCTACAATCAACACCCAAGGTAGCAGCAAAAAAGAAATCAAAAGACATGTTGTTACTCTGGGGGAGTGTGCTGCCACGGACCTCTCCAAAGTTTTAAAGAGCAAGGATGTCAGTATAAAGACTAAGGTGCATCTGAGTCAAGTCATGATCTTTTCACCTGCTTCCTGTGAATCTGAAAGTCAGTTAATGAATAAGGATAATGTGGAAATTGTTACTTTTTAATTGTGATATTGGTGAAAAGAACTGAGTATCCCATGGACTGTAAAAAGAACAAAATGTCTTGAAATACAACTAGAGTGTCCCCTGTAGGTAATGACAGTGACATTTTGCCTCACTTATTTGGGACATATTTTCAGAAGGAACCAGTCCTTGGAGAGAGCCATCGTGCTGGGAAAAGCAGAAAGTCAGAGAGAGAGAGAGAGGAAACCCTCACCAAGATGAACTGACACGGTGACTGTCACTATGGTCCTGAGCAGCCCAGGGGTCATGAGAACGACGTGCACCAGGTGCAGATCCGCCATTCAGATGGTTGCTAAGGGCTGTCGTAGACTTGAGAGCACTTAACCACACAAGCCTACCTTTAACATGCCCCATGGACCGTCAAAAAGAACACTTATAACTGGGGGTTCTTCAGAGGCAGGGATGGTGAAACGTTGGCTCACAAACTTTGGGCATGTTGTCAGGGAAGGCTAGTCTTGGAAAAAGACATCATGTTGGGCAAAGTGGAGGGTCAGTCAAAGAGAGGAAGGCCTTAAACAGGACAGACTGACACAGTGGTGTAACAGTGGGCTGGACAGGGCCAGGGAGATAAGCTTGGGAGAATATCCCAGGGAGAAGAGAGCCAGAAACAAACTGAGGAGGAAGACCCAGAGGGACACAGCTGGCTACCTGCTCGGGAGAGGATCCCAGTGGAGAGACGGCCAGAGAAGCAAGCTTGAGTGAAGGTCTCAGAGGGAAGAAAGCCAGAGAGAAGCTGGGGAGAGGGTCTCTGAGGGGAGAGAGTCAGAGAGAAGCTGAGGAGAGGGTCCCTGACAGGAGAGAGTCCAAGGTAAACTGAGCAGAGGGTCTGAGGCAGGAGAAAGTGAGAGAAGATTCCAGCCAGGAGGCAGCAAACATCCTGCTCAGATGAGACAGCCAGGGCTTCCTCCCCACTGACTCGGTTCTATCCGCCTGGCAGCCCTTTCACGCGGCATCCTAGAGTAAGAGACTACATTATGCACCAAAATCCGGGTTGCCTGAGGTCTTCAAGGCTCTGGATAAACCCAAACAGCCCGTCTCCCTGCCGTTAGGTGCCATCAGGTCAGCTGACTGAGAGCAGCCTGCATACAGTAACATAAATGCCTCTCCTGCTCCATCCTCACAATCTGCACAGCACTTACGCTCACTGTTGGCGGCAGCTGTGTCAATCCGTCCCATCAGAGTCTTCCTCTTTCTCCCCACTCTCTATCAAACAGGTTGTCCTTCCCCGGGGCCCGGCCCCTCCTGGCAACACGTCCAAAGCAGAGACCAAGTCTCCCCTTTCTTGCTTTTAAAGAGCATCTGGCTGTACTTCTAAAACATAATTGTTCATTCTTGTAGCATTCCGTGAAGCCCACTTAATTGTGTTAAGAGTACATTGTTACAGCTCTTGGAAAGGGGGAAAAACATATCCAATCATCTTGTTGTTATTGTTGCTGTTATGTGCCCAGTTGAGTCACCTGCAACTTCTTGTGACCTTATGTACAACAGCTCTGAACACTGCCCGGTCCTGAGCTGGTCTTACTGACTCTGACACACCTACCCCCATTACCCCAGAAACTGTTAAATCATCTCATCCGGGGTCTTCCTCTCCTGCGCTGTCCCTCCACCCTTCCAAGCATGATGTCCTTCTCCAGGGACTGGTTCTTCCTGGTTACATGTCAAATTATCTTAGTTAAATAATATTTTCTTCCACTTGAAAAATCAAGAACCCAACCCATATAAAATGAGAATACACATTTATTTCAAGAAAGATTATGGAGAGAGTTCCCATTACTTTGTGCTTTCTTGGCAAATTTTTCATTATCTCTAGCAAGCACATTTAACATATTTTTAAAATATAGTTATCTTTCTAGTTATGCACCTTCCAAAGACAGGGGCCAAGTCTCCACTGACTACCTATATTGAAAGATCACCCCACTGCCACTGGTCCTGTCCCCTCTCCAGGAAGGATGAGGAAGGCCTCTGTGTGGTTGTACGAGGCACTCAGGACTTTCCTGAAGGACCTGCATGCTACAGTGCTTAGCTGCTGATCTAAAGGTTAGTGGTTCAAACCCACCAGCCTCTCTCCAGGAGAAAGATGAGGCAATCTGCTTCCCTAGAGAGGACAGCTGGAAACCCTAAGGGGCAGCTGTACTTCCGTCCACAGATGAGCCGGGAGTCAGAGTCCACTCAACCTGGTGTGTTGGTTTTGAACTATGTTGTGTTCCAGGCTCAAATCACCATCAGGTACCAGCCTCCCAAGTTCCAGAATTTGCAAATTTATCATGTGACATGATCACCCATTAAGCAACTGAACGAGTATCACCATGGACATCAACTTGATGCTTAACTAAAAAGAGCAAGCCATTGCCACAGCACCCAGCTGACTCCCAGTGTCCCTGTGGCTGGGCAGAGCTGCCCGGCGTCTCTCAGCTGGAATCTTAACGTGACCACACTGTTATATTTTTCTCTTGTGGAGTGGCTGGTGAGTTTGAGTTGCTGATTTTCTGGGTAGCAGCCCAAGAGCTTAACAACTGCACCAAGGCTCCCTTTAATTACCCATCTTTAGTTAACCCGTCGCTCTTTTGGTGAATGAAAGTGCTTTGTGTGTATTTTCTCACGAAGACCACAGGAGCAGCGAGTGGCCTTCACTGAGTTGGACAGTGAACCCAGCCTTACAAGCCCCAGACACGCATCATCTAACGGAACCTCCTGACCAGATTTGGTGGCGACTACCAGTTATTTGGAAGCAGGAAATGGCATCTACTTCCTAAACAACATGCCTCCGGAACTCTGAACTTTGATAGATGTCGATAGTTGTAGAGAGGCTTCAGGCTTTTTGTTCCTAGGATCGCTAGGAGTTGTGTTCAACTCAAGGCAATCAACAACAACAACTGCAGTTACAGGAGTCCCGTGATGCAGTGGTTAAATTGCTCACCTACCAAACCAAACGTCAGTAGTTCAAAGTCATCAGCTGCTCAATGAGAAGAAAGATCCAGCAGCTTAAATAAAACTGATTGACTGATAGTCTTGGAAATCCTGTAGTGCAGTTCCCCTCTGTCTTATAAGATCACCGTGAGTCAGAACTGGGGAGCTCTGGTGGCTTAGTGAGCGAGCTCTGGTGGCCTAGTGGCAAGGAGCTGTGCTACAATCCCAAAGGCACGCAGTTCGAGGCCACCAGCCGCTCTGTGGGACAAGGATGGGCAATCTCCTCCCGTGTGATTAACTGCCTCTGAAAACCCGCTGGAGGGTCAGCTATGGGTCGGTTCCAACCTGACAGTAAACAACAACAACAGTGGCTTAGTGGTAAAGAGTTGGGATTACCAACCCAAAGGCACGTGGTTCGAATATACCACCCCCTCTGTGGGAGAAAGATGGATAATCTCGATCTAAGCTTCTGAAAACCCACTGGCGGGTCAGCTATGAGTCGGCTGCAAATCAAGGGTGCCTAACAGAATCAATCTGATGATATCGAGGATGCATCAAACAGTCAGAATCAATCTGACAGAATTGAGCCTTATTTCCATCACTCCTGTTGTTAAAAATCCTTTTGAATGGCACTGAACACATTTTGAGTTCTTTTTACTTCATAAACCTTTACTCTAGGGTTTCCATGACTCCAAACAATCTGCATGGAAAGCAAGCACATCCCTACTGCCATTCTTTTGCTGCAATAGAGCCTCACCGTGGAGGAGCGTGGGGGAATGAGGACTGTGGCGATGTGTGGAGGGGTGGCTTCAGAGAGAGTGCCTCTGTCCTGCCGGGCACCTCCCGGCTGGGCTCTGCCTGGGGCAGGGCCGCTCCTGACTCAGGGGACCGACAGAAGGTGGGCAGCCAGGGGAGCGGGCGGGCGGGCTACTTACCAGCTCTGTGTGAACTTTAAGATGTGCCTGCAGCTTATATTTATCTGGAGTCGAGTAGTCACAGCCGTCAGTGGGGCACTTCAGCAAGATGTTACTGTGTTTCTGAATTACATGGCGTTTAAGGCAGTTTTTGGTGATGGAAGAATAATGACACTGGGAGCAATAATACAGATGTTCTCGGGTGTGGGTGCGGACATGCATGTCAAAATGCACTTGGTACCAAAAAAGTTTGCCTAAAAAAATATTTGCACATGAGAACAAGGAAGTCGATTTTATACTGAATTTGATTATTTTTTTAAGTACTATATTTCTGTCCCTCTTGTACTTTTCCTGATTGCCCTCACAGGTCTATCATAGCTGAGTCTGGAAGGGATGTTTCACAGGTGGGGGCTGATTGCCCACATTCAAGATGCTGGGGTTTTGGTTTTGCTTTTGTTTTTTGTCATGAGGGCAGAGCTAGGGAAGGAGAAGCAACTGGGTGCCAAGTGCAATGTCGCACATGCATTAATCACAAAGTCTACACTCTGCAGACTCCTGGGACATGTGGTTTCACCACTCCCCAGGGGACAGCCACCAAAACTGATGACTCTGCAGGGAGCACTCAGCATGGTGACTGATGGGAGCACTCAGGGCTGTGACTCTACATGGAGCACTTAGGGCTGAGACTGCAGGGAGCACGTGGGGCTGTTACTGCAGGGAGCGCTCTAAGACTCCAACAAGCTCTGCTCACCTAGACCACGGCCACTACTTAAAGCTAATGTAAATGTATCACATGCCAGTAAACAGGGTCTTGTTGTTAACGTCCTGCGGCAGTGGGACTAGTCACCGTCTGCACACCCACAGAGCTGCCCTCAAGGAGGCCGTCTGAGAGACCCGGCTCTAACCTGTTCCGTGGATGGGCACCCAACCTGCCTCTGACTCAGGTTGTCTTCGGAAGAGATACGCTGAAAACCACGCCAGTGACCAGGAGTGATGGCGGGAGTGCGGGACACTGGCCCCAGCCAGAGCCCAGCACCTCTGCTTACCACAGTATTCACACTCCAGCTCGCCGTACACCTTCCGGATCCTCTCACACAGGCCCGGGGTCATCTGTTTCTTCTGCAGGCCGTTCAGGATCTTCATGAAGGGGGTGACGTCTCCTGGGGGCTCCGGAGGTTTGCAGGGGTCAGGCTGACGCGTGGCCACGTCCCCACCACCTGCGTCAGGGGGACGCATTTTGGGGGACTGGGCAGGGGTGGACGTGAGCTGCCTGCTGGGGTCCAGGCCGACAGGTGGGAGGGCCATAGCATCCTGCCCTGGGTATGGGGGGCTCTCCACAGCCTGGGCCTCCTGGTGCACACTGGCCTCTTTGACCTTGGGCAGCACTGTCGCCCCTTGGTCCTGAGTCTGCGGTCTTTCAGGCACAGTGGGCTCCTGGGCGGTGGCAGAGGTATCACTTTTCAACGACAAGTCATCAGTAGCCACTGCAGATGAAGGACCTGTGGAGAGCACACCTGCTACCCCGTCGGCTGGGTCTGCAGCAGATTGTTCTGCCGGAGCAGGGCTCTTCCCTGGGGTATCCGGCCCCTTTGGGGTCTCCCGGGGCTGGGCCTCTCCGGTGCAGGCCGCCTCCTTGGGCACGCTGGCCCCCTGTAACACGAGTTCCTCCTCGGCCAGCTGCAGCTGGTCCCCCAGGGCCTCCTGGTGGAGGTCCCCGCCCGGCTCCAGCAGGCAGAAGCTCTGGTTGATGGAGCTGGTGAAGACCGCAGCCTCCTGCGCGGCCCCGTGCGCCTCGCGTGCGTGCGCCTCGCGGATGTGCACGCGCAGGCGCACGGAGCTCACAAACTTCTTGAGGCAGAGCGCGCACACGTACACGAAGGGGTGCTTGCGCACGTGCAGCTCCAGGGCCTGGTACTTGGTGGCGCCGTGGCCGCAGAGCTCGCAGGCGAAGGGCCACTGGTCGCCGTGCACCAGCCTGTGGCGGTCGCGGTCCAGCTCGTTCTTGAACTTGCGCTCGCAGATGTGGCAGTCATAGAGCAGCTGCCGCTTGCCCTCCCGAGTCAGCAGGCGGAGCTTGTCCAGCGCCTCCTTGACCTTGTGGTCCTGTGGGTCGTGCACCTCGCGCATGTGCTTAATGAGGTTCTTGACATCCGAGTACTTCTTCTTGCAGAAGCGGCAGTGCTGCTTGATCTTCTTGTGCACCCGCTCCACGTGCACCTTGAGGTGGCCCTTGCTCAGGCAGGTGAAGGAGCAGCAGTCACAGGCGAACTTCTCGCCCGTGTGCTTGCGCAGGTGCACGTTGAGGTTGGCCTTGATGGCGCTGGCGTAGCTGCAGTGCGCGCACTGGTAGGGCTTCTCCTTGGTGTGGATGCGCAGGTGCGCCTGCAGCGAGTGCTTGAACTTGAACACCTTGTTGCAGTACTCGCACGTGAAGATCTTGAGCTGGGTGGGGCCGAGCCTGCGGAGAGAGGACACCACGGTTACACGGTTACACGGGACCCCTTGGCACCTGCTCAGGTTCAGGCTGAGAGCCGGGCTGCTTGGGGGGGGGGGGGAGCAGACAGCCAACGCCCAACAGTGAACAGAATGCAGTCACGTCCCACTCCCAGCGACCACTCACCGGGTTTCCAAGGCTATCAATCCTAACAGGGGCTGACTGCCACATCTTTTTCCTGTGGATGCCTACCGGGTTCAAACCTCTAGCACAGAAGCCCCACATGTAATAATGCATGGATTCAAGCCACCAGGAGGTTATCTTCTTGAAGAGCATGGGGTCAAATCAACTCAGAGCCGACCCTCCAGTAGGTTTTCACAGGGAGATTAATAGTACGGGAGGAGATTCCCCGCCTTTCTCCCTTAGAGCAACTGGTGGATTTGAACCTTGGGGTTTGCAGCGCAGCTCCTTACACTAAGCCACCAGAGCTCTGTACCAGGCTGCCTCAGACCGTGTACATGGTGAATAATAAAGCATCCATCCTGCCTCCTGGAACCTTTCTCCTTCTACAAGGTGCTGTAATGTTGACCGAAATGGGAACAGCAACACCTAACAGCTGCTGAGATTTTAGAACCTGGAATCATTCACCTTTCAGCTGGCAGCCCACTGCTTACCTGTTTGCACCAGGACTTACCACACTGCTGCTGGTTCAAACCCACCCAGGAGCACCTCAGAAGAAAGGCCTGGCCATCTGTGTCCAAATGGCCACCAGCCTCAACCTGACTCTGCACATTGGGAGACTGAGGGCCACCAGCTGCTGTTCTGTGTGCTTTACTTTAAAGGTCTGGACTGTCATCATCACGTCTACATCATCGGCCACTGGCACCTCCCCGAGGTGACCACGTGGAGTAAGCTCCCGGCACAGCGTTCCCACTGCTGTCAAAGCTTGGTTCCAAAACCAGCAGATGACCGTGGATCTGTGCGCTGAATCCCTTGGTTTGCTCTTCCATGTCTGGACCGGGAATTGAGCTGAATGGAAGATGGAGGAAAGAACGGCCATGGGCACCCCCATTCTTCTGTTTCAGTCATGCTTGAAAACAACGCTGGTCTGGCCGAGTTAGAGTATGTGGCTAGAAGGAAAGGCGAGAAGATAGAAACGAGGTGCACACGTAGTTTTTATTAGAAGAGATACGTCCCAGGGACCAGACAGGCCATCGCTAGGGGAGAAGATCCCTAGGCAGGGAGGTAAGAAGAAGGTCCTTGGCCTGGGCCAGGCCAGCTGAATAGAGTGTGCGGTCCCAGTCCCTCACTCCTGTGTCACTCACGCACCTGGAACACCATGCATGTCAGGATTACAGTTCCTTGCTTCTGACTAGGGAGAACCTGGTCACTCCATTTGATCCTTGCCTCTCACTGGCTAACATGAGTTGTGCCTCTTTTTGCCAGACTTACCTAACCTTGATCCTAACGACATCCATAAAGCACGACCGTGGGCAGAGAAAACAGCTCCTTTCTTAGGTCAGAATATCATGCCAGGGGCCGGGAGACAGCCAAGGAGTCCAGTGGGGCCCCCAGTGGAACTGAGCCCTTTGGTCAGAGGGTCAGGTCTCCAAACAGCAAGCGTGTCTGGCCTGTGGTTAGGTGTGATGGGCAGGTGTGATCATATGGTGTGACTAAGCCGTGCCTCCTGCAAGCAGAAGGTCTATAATCACGAAACAACCCTTATAACTATGCTTGATCAACACAGCTGGCCTTGTCTCAAATGAAAACTATTTAAATGGATGGCATTCCACAAACACCAGAGGGCAAATTCACAGGATGTAATTAAAATATTCAAACTCCGAAGTCACTACTTAGCCTGCCTGCTAAACCCAAGGCTAACTGAAGGGAGTGTGATTGAACCCTTCTCCAAAGACCGAGATACCCAGCAGGAGTTATCCGTAATGACGGAGACCACCAAAGACGGGCCTGCAGTCATAACATTAATTAAATAAACAAATCACAGTCTTTCCTCCCTCAATGCCATGTGACCGCTCGGTCTTACACTCTGATTGTTCATTCCAGCAGAGAGACACGTGGGCGGCCCTCGGCAGCCACCTCTCTCTGGACAGTGAGTCTGATGGAGATGCTCTGAGCTCACGTGTGACCTGCGGCCTCAGCTACTGTGACTGACGCCACACACCTGCAATGCCCTAAATTACCTGATCAAGACAGCCCACGTCCAATGAAGGGAGGTCTCTCAGCCCTGCCTTTCCATTAGACCCCGTCATTCCACACTAGAACCCAACACGCCACTGCCGTAGTATCCTGACCCACAGCGAGCCTACAGGACAGTGAAATGGCCCCACAGGTTCCCTCGACTGTCCTCACAGAAGGGACAGCCTCAGCTTTCACCCGAGGAGCTATGTGTTCACACCATCGGCCTAACACACGGCATCATCAGAGCCCCTATCCGGTCACTACATTCCTGGGGGCCTAACAGGGAAAGACGGTGGCACTGTGACAAAGGGTGGTGACGCTAACCCACCCACTGCTCCCGGGGAAATGGTGCTGCCGTAGGCTTTACTTCCTTAAAGATGCCAAGGGCCACAGCTGTTGAGTTGGCTCTGACTCGCCACGACACTCCGTCGAGTTTCTGAGACTGGAAATCTTTATTTGACAAGACTGGCATCTTTCTCCCAAGGAGCCACTGCTGGTTTTGAACCACCAAACTCGGGACTAGCAGCCTAACCCCTAATATGTGGCATAAAGATGACAACCCTAGCAGCCCTGAGGGGCTGCTCTACTCTGTCCACGGAGTCGCTGCGAGACAGAACTGGCTCAGTGGCCGTGTAGGGTGGGGGTTCCAATCCAGGGAAGGTGCTCCTGCCCGCAGTGGGAACCAGAGGCTGCTTAGACGGCCCTGCTAGGAAGCAGAGTCCCCACGTGTTTTGTAGTTTTTCCACTCGTTCCTTCATTCATAAAGAATTCTCAACACTGATGACACACTCAAGTTCACATGCCAGCACAGGCCCATCCACGGGCGCCTATGGACGCTCCGAGCTGCCCACATCGGCCCCCAGCTCATAAAGCCCCGTGGCCAGCACGGCGGGACCCTTGTGATATACAGCACTTCAGTGGCTGGTTTTTGGAAGTAGATTGCCAGGCTTTTCTTCCTAGTCTTCCTTAGCCTGGAAGCTCTGCTGAAACCCAGTCAACATGCGAGTGTCCACTGATGGGTGGTGGCCACACATGAGATGTACTATCCAGGAATCGAACCAGGGTCTCCCACATGGAAGGTGTTACAGTGATTATGTTCCCCAAAGCAATGGGTTGTAACCCCAGACCCTCTACCTATGGATATAAGTCACTCTGGGGACGAATGTCTTTAATATGTTCCTAACACTGCATCAAGGGAGCTCTGGTGGCCTAGTGGCAAGAAGCTGAGCTGCAAACCCAAAGGCCCGTGGTTCACAGCTACCAGCTGCTCCACAGGAGAAGGACAGGCAGTCTCTTCCTGTGCGATTAACTGCCTCTGAAAACCTGCTGCAGGGTCAGCTGTGGGGCGGTTCTGACTCCTCGGTACACAGCAACAATGCTAGAGTGTAGGGTGTGTCTTACATCAATCTTGGTTCATTAATTTGGTGCTTCCTGTGCATGTAAAAGGCATGTATTTTTTAGTCTATTAAATGTTTCTGTTGTTGGGTGCCATCAAGTTGAACACACCTCATAGCAACCCTAAAAACAACAGATCTGAACCCTGTCCTATCCTGTGCCATTCATACGATCTGTGACACACCCGAGCCCCCTGCTGCAGTCACTGTGTCAAGGAGCCTGGTTAAGAGTCTTCCTCTCTTTCGCTGTCCCTCAACTTTCCCATTCATGATACCCCTCTTCAATGAATAGCTTCTCCTAGCAACATGCTCAAAGGACATGAGATGAAATTTCATCATCTTCGCCTCCAACGAGCATTCTGTCTGCACCTACTCCAAGACATATCTGTTTGTGCTTTTGGCTGTCCATGGAATATTCAGTACTTTTCTCTAACAGAGTTCAAAGGCATCAGTTCTTCTGTCATTCCTATTCATTGTCTAGCTCTCTTAGAGGCATAGCAAGTAACTGAGAAGACCAAGGCCTGAATCAGGAGTACCTTAGTCCTCAATCTAGCATCATTGCTCATCAATAGTTTGGAGAGATCACTGGCTGCAATCCGTCTCCTGATTTCCTCACTGCTGGTACCAAGTGTACTGATTTTGGATCCAAGTAAGATGAAGTTTTTGATGGTTTCAATGTTTCCTCCATCTATCATTTATTGCCTATCTGTCCAGTGGTGAGAATTTTTATTTTTCTGATGTTGAAAAGTAATCCATATTTGATCTTCTGCAGCAAGTGTTTCAAGTCCTCCTCAGTTTCAGCAAGAAAGGTTGTGTCATCTGCATAATGAAGGTTATTGATGAGTCTTCCTTTCTGCAATCCTGATTCCACATTCTCCTTCATGGAGACCAGCTTGTCAAATAATTTGCTCCGTATACAGATTGAATAAATATGGGGAAAGGATACAAGTGTGACACACAGCTTGCTTAATTTTAAACCCTATAGCGTTCCTTTGCTCTGTGCGCACCATAGCCTCTTGGTCTAGGTACAGGTTCTGCGACTCCCATTCTTCTTAATGTTAGCTATATTTGTTATGATACACACAGTCAAATGCCTTTAAACATTACGTGTACTATACCATTATGAAAAAAACGGAGTTAGTGTGGAAATTACCAGAACATGACACAGAGGAACAAGGTGAGTACATGCTGCTGGAGAAATGGCACCCACGCCACACACTTGCTTGATGCAGAGTTGCTGCAAACCTTCAACTTGTAAAACACAGTACCTGTGATGTGTGATAACGTAACATGCGATAAAGATAGGTGTGCCTGTATAAAGCAAAGATCAAACAAGCAAGCACAAATAGGGAGTCGAGGAACCCAGGAACAGAACTGGAAAAGACACAAGGAAGTTCCCCCCAGCAGAGAGAGGACCTTCCTTCCCCTAGAGCTCTTCAAGGTCATGTGTCGATCCGGAGCCAACTCCAGCTGACCCTCAACTGGGTTTTGGAGACTAGGGAAGATAGAAGGAGAATTGATGCCTTTGAGCTGTGGTGCTGGAGAAGAGTATTGAGTGTACCATGGACTGCTAAGAAAACAAACAGGTTCATCCTGGAGAGGGTTAAACGGGGCTGCTCCTTGGAAGCTAGGATTCTTAGGCTTCATCTGACGTACTTGGGCATGTTGTAGGCAGGGACTGGTCCTTGGAGAGGGACGTCATGCTTGGGAGGGTAGAGGGACAGCACAGGAGGGGAAGGCCCTCTATGAGGTGGACTGATTCAGTGACTGGGGTAATCGGGATGGGTGTATCGGAGACACTGCGATTGGCACTGGACAGAGCAGAGTTTAGGGCTATTGTACACAGGGTCACTATGAGTCGCAAATGACTCGATGGCACATAACAACAACAATCGCACAGGAAGAGACTGTTCCTCCTGCTCCCAATGCCCTGCAGCTGGTGCCGAGGATTCAGAATCTGAGCTGCCCACCACGAGAAAGCAAACTCCCCTCATTAGTCACGTGTGTGTGACTCACAGGACCAGGGAAAGAAGGAGTCCTAGGCGCAGTGCTGAAGGTGCTCGCCTGCTGGCCAAAGGCTCAGAGGTTCAAACCTGGCAGCTGCTCTGGCAGAGAAAGAGGCAGTATCTTCCTTCAAGATTTACAGCCCTGAAAACTGTACGTGCACTTCTGCTCTGTCCGATAGGGTTGCTATGAGTCAGTGCAGACTGGACAGCAATGGGCAGGAATTCAATCACTGAGTCACCACAGTCTGAGGGCCACCAGCCTAGCACCCAAAAACGAGTAGAGAGGCTCCCAGAGACACCGGCTGTGAGAAAGTACACACAGCTCTCAGGGCCAAGGGTGGAACAGGTGGGTTTGGTCTGGGCCAGGGTGGCCAGCCTAGGGCTCTGTCCACACTTCAGCCTGAGGTAGAGGAAGGAAGAGGAGTTGTCCAAGCAAGCAGGGATTGAGACATTCCACCATGAGGGGAGGAAGTGAGGAAATGCCCAATGGTGGAGCTCAGAGATCATTAGAATGTGACTGGAGATAAGAGGCTGGAGAAGCAACGGAGCCAGGTGTGCACACCTGTTAGGCCCAGTTCTCCTGAGAACAAGAGGAGGCCTTAACCATCTCGTGATCTGTGGGACACAAAGTCCACACCTAGATTTTCCCCTGCTGGGATTAGTGGGAACCTCTCATCCCACTTACAGAGCATACTGCCATCTGGTGGAAGGCTGCATAATTGCAGGAATATAGAGACAGCCTTGTCCCACCAACTGCACCACCAGAGGCTTGTCAGGACATACGTGCATCACCAATTGCATCCAAATCCAACATGACCTTACAATACATTCTTTTTATTTCATTGACAACGTCTTCTATTACTAAAAACATGTGATTTCAACAAAAACAGCAACAAAGCAGAAAATAATTTGGTCCTGAAAGGGTATGGCAGCCAGCAGAAGAGCATTTTAATAGGAACACATTGGCTGCAACGTGGAGGGCAGGACAGACTGCAGGGCATTTCTACAGCAGCCAAGCAAGTCTGTGTGTGTGACTGGGCTAAGAACCAGGGGAAACGAGTATACTGCAATGAAATTTATAAAAGCTACATACAAAACTGCATATAAAATATAAGCTCACTTTCATAAAACAGGTACACTGAAAAAGGCTGAGAGAAAATACATCAAAAATGTTAATGGTGATTATCTGGAGAGTATGGTACATTATGTTTCTCCTTAGAGTTTCCTGATTTCCCCAAATTTCCTTTGTGAGTATGTACTATGTTTGTTAAAAGAAAAAATATTAATGTAACCTGAAAGTTTCTTCTAAAATATGCAAAGCAAAATCCTCATGCAAAAAATATGTCTCTTTCATAACTCATTTATAATTTATACATAAAATATTCATGGAATGCTTGACAAGAGGAAGGTAGCCTGGGTCTGTTGATTAAATATTGAGCGTATTTACCTGTAACTAGATTAGCATTTAGTTGCGTCCCTTCCCAAGAGACCGTGAACCACTGTGAAGATAATCAGGCAGGGCCCCCTCGTACCCACCTGAGCAGAGATGGTGTGATGCAGAGACGTCACTCTAAGTGCCGATCTGCCCCAAAAGTGAGTTGACAACTTCCCTCAAAATTCATTTGTTCACATTTACAGGAATTGAGAACAGTGGCTGCTAATGAATGAAGCATCCCCCAAGTGATGTTAGAATATCATTTAACGGGAATCCACATGCCAGAGACTCTCCACTACCTCCAGGTGCTATTATGTAATGTAATGGCCACCGACAGAGAAGCTGAGAGACAAGATGCCTGAGATCAAGTTAGAAAAGCATCCAGGCATCCTCAGGACAGGCGTCTCTGTCTCAGCACCAGCCTCTAGCATAAAACAGGTGCTCAATTTGTTGAGGGAACCCAAGTGTAAGAGCCAAAATACGCTCCCACAGAAAACACCTCACTTACTCCTTCCAGAAACAGCAGGAAACCATTTGATTGGTATTTGTTTTGAAACATGGTATCAGACCTCAGGTGGGCAGGTTTGCTAACCTACTCCAGCAGGTATGTATCCCAGCTAAAGAGTGAGAATCTTGGGAGGCTGTGGAGAAACAGACCCCTCATTTACTACCGATGAGAAAATCAGCCTGTACAATGTCTTTTGAGGTCAGTTATTAACTTGATTACAACTGGAGCACACATACCCTATAGTACAGAAGTCTTACACTCAAACAATTTCTCTCACAAAAAGCCTTGAAGAAGTATGTAAAGACGTGTGTGCCCATATGGAATCACTTACCCAGTGAAAACTGGTGACACAAACTACAGTACTACCACCATGAAAGGCAGCTCTGGTGGCCTCGTGGAAAGAGGCTGTGCTGCAATTCCACAGGCACACAGTTTGAATACACCAGCCGCTCCGCAGGGGAAGGATGGGCAATCTCCTCCCATGCGATTAACTGCCTCTGAAAATCCACCGGAGGGTCTGCGATGGGTCGGTTCCGACTCGACAGTACATAACAACAAACAGTGCCATACAAAAGCAAGCACAAGTGTTCAAGTAGCTACTGGGAATGAAATATTGTCAAAGTATACCAAGCTGTCAGGAGGGAAAAGAAATCAATCTGTGAATAACAGGTTTAGTTCTTCATTTTGGAAAAAAAAGAATAAAATTGAGGTAGTACATATCAGTATATCACAATATATACAGATATGGGAGCATATGTACAAAATTATCAATAGAGGTTACCTCTAGAAGGAAGAATTATAGGGCACTTGAACTCTGCATAATACAAGATACCAGAACTTTCGACAGCATGCTGGTGTTTCTTTGGAATGTAAGAGTGCAAATAAAGAATTATTTTCACTATATCATGGAAAATCTGGAAGAAATAAATGTTTGGTACAGCTAGGAACAGCAAATTCATGATGGAAAGCACTGTTGACTTGTTTTGTTCACATTTTCTATGAGGTTAAACATAGTCTGTCTTTAAGTAAAACATGCCAGCTTCAGGAAACCATGAGATGCTCAGTTCTGAAAGAAGGTGGATCCGCCACACATTTCACAAAACAGCTGAGGCTCAGCCAACACCCATGGCTGAGACGGAGGGGTTACTGTCACCTCCAATGCAGACCTCCACATCCCCTCCTAACAACCTGTACCAGGGCTGGCAAACCACAAGGATCGGTGGAGGTCAGTGGAGTTCTGCTTTTAGCCTCTTACAGAACCAACCCTTTATTTACCTGCTCGACTTCATCGGCTGCTCGTAGGGCGTCTGCTGGATGGCGTACTCCTGGTACCCTCTGCGATGCGCCAGGTCAGCCACGGTACTCTCGGGCTGGGCTGCTTCTGCTTCTGGGGGCCCCGCTTCCACCGGAACTATCTTGGTGGCACCTAACATCACAACGTTGCTGCTAGTTAGTTAAAGGGCCCCATCCAAGGGGGCACTCCTGGGCTCTACGGCTTGACTGCAACACTCTGCAAAGTACTGGTTTCCCTTCAGTCCACACGTGGACATCGTGCAGGGTGCATGCATGTGCGTGTATGTGCGTGTGTGCACATGCATGTGTGAGACAGTGGATTTGTCTGCAAAGATAACTTCTTGGCCTATATTTTCATTTTAAGTAATTTGAGATAGATAGATAGATAGATAGATAGATAGATAGATAGATAGATAGATAGATAGAAACAAACACAGAGATAAACATATATAGATAGGTAGATATACAGATATACACACATGATCACATGCACACAGAGACACACGTATTGTTTCAGTTATTAGGTGCCATCCAGTGGACTACAACTTACAATAACACATATCCGCGTATGTATTTACAAATAACACACACACATACACACACAGCATCCACTATGCTGGGAAGGACGGAGGGTCAGAGAAAGAGAGGGAGACTCTCAACAAGATGGACTGACACCGTGACTGTAGCAATGGGTTCAAGGCCTCAGAGACGGTGAGGTTGGTGCAGCACTGGGTCAAGTTCAGATACGCTGTTCACTGCTCACGAGGAGTCACAGCTGAGCTGATGGCACTTACCAACAGCACCACCACACACAGAGCCAGAGAGAGAGGTCCTGCTGGTACGGTGGTTGAAGAATTCAATCACAAACCACAAGGTCAAGCCCAGCAGCCACGCGGTGGAAGAGAACATGTGGCCGGCCACATCAGGGTTACAGCGGCGGAAATGGCATGGGGCAGATGGACTGTCCCACAGGGCCTCAAGGGGTCAGAACCAACCCAAGACAGCTGACTGGGTTGTGTGGGGTTATTTAAAAAAATGTTGTGTTTATACGTGCACACATACATGCATTTATACACACAAACATCTGTGTATGTTAAGGTGCTTGTAGTACTTTACATAGAACCACACATGGTAACTCTAAATACTTCATACACGAGAGGACAGTAAACTATGAACTGGATTTCATGCATCATGAGACCCCCACCCCAAATACGCCACCTTAACACCCCTGACTTGCACTCCATAAAAGGAGGGTCTGAAGCCTGTATCAGGAGTCACTTTTCTGTATTTCTCTGATTCAAGATGTCAGAGGCCTTTCACAGGGGGGCATTTCACGTGTGTGTGCGCGCGCACCTGTGTATCAGCCGCTGCATTCGTTAAAAGGCTCCGCTCCAGCCCTTGTTTCTGTGGTAACGAGCAAAGGGAATGATACTTTTCACTCTTACTTACAGATATTTCAGAACACTAACATCGATTTTTAAGAAAACCATGTGAGAACTTCCTAGGGAGACTAAGGTGAAGCAGCAAATCTCTCCTGCTATTTTCATCTCCAGAGTAACACTGCTCTAACCCCAGGTGTGGACTGGTCAGGGCCATTCCATGGAAGAGAAGGAAACAAAGCAGACTGGGGTAGACAAGATGCCCATAAGCTTTTTTTGGGGGGCTTTTTACCCCTCTAGTTCTATAGCATCTGGTTTATTCTCCACTGATCCCCTACTGTGTTCTGAAATAAGAAAGGAACATGTCCAGACCGTATTTAAAGAATGAGCTGTTAGTACCCTTTAAAATAGATGCCAACAATGTCTATTTTCTTAAAATTCTGACCCTGCATGTCTACGCAGAATGATAGCTAATGTGGAAGCAAATGAATTGCTAGGTAAAGAGTCATTTATCCAATCATATGCTAAACACTACTGATTTTTATTTGGACAAATTTCTAAAATGCTGTGAATTCAGAAACAGTCTTGTTTAAAAAATAAAAACAAGAAAACTCTTAAAAATTGTAAATGTGATGTTTCACATTTCATTTGACAGCTATCACAGAACAGGAAGCCTGGTGGCCTCGTCCACAGGGGGCTGCACTGCTAACCTGCAGGCCAAACCTCGCTGGTGGTTCAAACCGAAGAGAGGCTCACCGGGAGAAAGCCAGGCAATCTCCCATGGTGTGACTTACGGCCTCAGAGACCCAGGGAGGGTCAGTTACAAGTGAGTTCAGACTGGACACCAATGACTAAACCATGACTACTTACAAAGCAAGGAGCTTTTTTCATTGCATGAATGTAGAGATGGGGGACAGGCATTTTGTTATCATAAACTGCTTTTCTGTCTTAAGTGTCCTGTTTCAGATTAAACTACATTACTACCAAATATGTGCTGGAAACCTAAATGCTACACCAGTGACTATAATCAAATTGGATGTAATTACTTTCCATAATGTAATCAATGACTCAGCTGTGGTCCTATCAGTGTAGGAGGTATCTGAAATCTAATCTCTTCTGAGTCACAGAGAAAAGAGGGGCTAGCGGTCGCATGTACACACACACACACACACGGAGAGGAGACACCATTTGACTATGAGAAGAACAGAGGATTTGCAAGCCCAGGAATTCCAGAAGTACCCAGCTACAAGAAGCTGAAAGAGATCCAGACAGAGTCCCCTCCAATCTCCACGCCTACTCTGCAAGTCCCGACGTCCAGACTCCTGCCCTGTGAGAAATTAAATGTCTGTTGTTTAAAGCCCTCACTTAAGGTGTTTCTGCTCCCACAGCCCCAGGAAAATAAGGCAGGCCCATCTCAGGTGAGACCTGTTTAAAGAAGAGAGCAGAGTATGCCCACCAGAGACTTGATGAGAACAGCGATGGGACGCGAATCCCCTGCACCATTAATATTGTGTGCAGTCGACAGGAAACAACAGAGAAGTCAGGTGGAGGGAAAACAAAGCCCCAGACATCAGAATTGCTGCCGGCGCCCCTGTGTATGGTGATGGGCACTGCAGATGGCATTGCTGGGAGCAGGGAGGGGCTGGAAGAGGGTGTGTGGGGCTCTGGCCACTGCCAGAGGAAAGGATGTGGTTATGGGGGGAATGAGACTCTAATGGAGCCCCCACTATCTCCCCTCTGTTGACAGCTTTAGATCCATCCTCCCATGCAGTCAACAGCCCACTGTCACCCAACCTGGTGGGCCATTCAGTGGACAGTCCCACTCAGTGAGCCTCACTCAGTGAGCCCCGCGCAGGGTCAAGCCCAGGGGACTGCTTCTCTTGATCGTGTCAGGCAATCCCGGCCCTGGCCATGGTCCCATGCCAGCCGTGGCCCCCTTCCAGCCATGGTCCCTCCTGGCCACAGCCCCTTCCCAGCCGCCGTCCTCTCTGAGCTGTGGTCCCCTTGCCCATGTGGTCCCCTCTTCACTAGGGTTCTGGCCGTGGTCCCCTCCCAGCGTGGTCCCTTCCCCCTTGTGGCCCCCTCCCCCAGGGTCCCCTTCTGGCCATGGTCCCCTCCTAGCTGCGGTCACCTGGAATGGCTTCATGTGCAGTGAGAACCACGCTGATGATGGGCTTCTTGGCCCCTGAGGGCTGCCCGGCCTCCTTCCCCGATGAGGTTTTCAGCGCCTTCTCGGCCTTCTGTGTCCGGGGTCTTTTGGAGGCCTTGTCTCGGTCATCTTCCTTATACTTCTTCTCTGGGTCACCATCAGAGTCGTTACCTGAGATGTAAATATCAGAGACATGTAAAACACCCTTTCATAGCAATGACCGCATCAAGGCACCAACATAATCCTATAGAGACCAGCAAGGAAATAAACAGGCATATAAAAATGCATATATAACTAAACACGCATACAGACACTCACATACACAGAGGAGCAGTGCTGGGGACACCGGCTAAGCCCCTGGAAACAAACTAGTGTGTATGAGCGATGAGTGGAGCTGGGAGGAGCAGGTCCAAGGCCGCAGGTATGGGACAAGGAGCCCCAGTGGTGCAGACAGCTAAGCACTTGACTATTCCCTGCAGTGGGGGAGCCCCTGGGGAACCCCAGTCCTCTGCAACACAAGGGTTGGTACGAGTCAGAGCTGACTCGGCAGTGACCAGGCTGGTTCTCAGCTTCCAGGAGGAAGTGGTAGATAAAGTGGCAGTGTCCCATCTAAAGACCAGGCAGCAAAGACAAGCTGAGCAGACCACACAGCTGTGAGATCAGGAGGGAGGAAGAAGACTGGAGGAAGTGCTGGGGCCCTGTGGGTCCTGGATGCCCGTGAGAAGTCTGGGCGCTCGTGGGCCCAGTCTACTCACTGGATGAGTGCTTGCAGCTGAACGTGTGGGCTGAGTGCATTCAGCCTAGCACACCCCAAAAGCATAAGGGCTTTTGAACTTTTGGTCATTCAAAGAAAAACTGGGTTCCAGGTTTGTCCATAAAACCTTTTGATTTTGAAGGCTAAAAGGAATTTAATACTTGTTCAACCCACACAGTGTTGTTACAGTGTTGCTGTTCTGTGCTGCCGCTTCAACATCAACCCACAGCCCCCTCTCCAGCAGGTACTCTGAGTCAGTGCATCTCACAGGAGAGGACTGCCCATCCTTCTCCTGAAGAGCTGTTGGTAGATTTGAACCACGTGCCTTTGGGATTGCAGCACAGCGCCTTCCCACTAGGCCACCAGAGCTCCCTCCATAGGACCCAGGCAAACACAGGTGAGCTCCATGCGACTGCAGCATCCTGTCTTCACCTCTCAAGGCAGTGGTGAAGCTCAGGAGAGCTGCAAGCACCAAGACTCAGGGCTAGGTTTCTGCCTGAAGCTGTGCCTCATATTTGTGCAAGGGCTGTAGAAAAGGAACTGAATGGGTTCAAAGTCGGTGAAACACGAAAGAATAAATAAGTCAGGCACAGGCAGAACAATAGCTAACTTCACATGGCTGAACTTGGCATTAGCCTGAGGGCTAAGAAGAGCTCAATATCAAAGAGGAGGACAGAGACACAATCTCTGAAATGCATGGTGTTCAGGATGCTGCAGTGAAAGGGATAGAAAGTAAAGGGATAAGAAGTTTTTCTTCCTTAAAGTCACAGCCAGAGAACTCAAGGTTCATTTTTTCAGAGCTGGTCCCCAAGTGTCCAGGGAACCAACCCACATAGTCCTTCCTGGATGGATAAGTTAGTAGTAAGAATAGGGTTAGGATGGATGGACGGACAGATAGATGGATGGACAGATGGACGGACAGATGAGTGGAATAGGGGTAAGGTTAGGGTTAGGTAGGGGTGGACGAAAGGATTAATGGGTGGGTGAGTTAGAGTTACCGTTAGGGTGGATGGATAGATGTGTGGAAGGATGGATGGATGGATGGATGGATGGATGGATGGACAAACATGAATGGGCAGATGGCTGAGTGATGGGAAAGATGAATGGATGGGTGGGTGGGTCGGTGGACGGATGGATGGATGGATGGATGGATGAAGGATGGGTGGATAGGTAGATGGGGTAGGTGGGTGGATATATAGGTGGGTGGGTGGATGGGTGAGTGGACAGGGTGGACAGGTGGGTACATGGAGATGCCTGATATGCAAGCAAGGAAGCAGATGACAGGAGTTTGGGAAAGTGCTGAATTGTGGTTCATTGGGGGGGTGGACTGGAAACCAGACAGTAATAATACAGATATTGGAGCAGTGGTTACTGTTTTAAGGAGAATATTTGTACTGTTTATTTTACTTTTTTAAATGAAATTTTATAAATCACATTGGTTTTCACATAGGTTACCATTAATCAATTAAGATTCTCATTAATCAACATAAGGCTTTCAAAATGACGCTTTAACTGGATAAGAGTTAACCATGGGATGCATTCCAGCATGTGGATGATATGACACATTATGTATGTTTATGTTTAAAACCAAAGCAAACCTTAAAATATGAATTCATCAGAAGTTTAGCCCTGGTTAACAGTGTAAATCAACAAACAAGTCAACACAGGGCGAGTGCTGGCCGCACTGGCAGGAGCCGGCTACAGCAGCCCCAGCTCAGCCTCTCCTGTGCACTGCACCCCCCCGGATGGGCCATTATCTGTTCTCTGCTCTGGGCTGCCTGAGTGCCCACCATGCTGAGGGGCCAGGTGCATGAGGACGGTGGACAGGTAGAGGTGAGGGCTCAGAAACCGAGTCGGATTACAAGGCAGCAGTGAAGAGCAGCTTAACAGAGTCTGAGAGAGTGAGGGAGACGAGGCCCTCGAGGTGAAGGCATGCAGAATCTGACGGGAGGAGGGGCGCCGTGGCTGCACAGTGGGCTCACGCAGAGCAGGCAGCCTGAGAATGACGCAGGACTGGACAGGGTTTCGTTCTGTTATCACACGATCGCCTGAGTCAGAGCAGCAACAATGGCCCCTAACCACCGCCTCAGAAGACAAAGGAGATACGGTTTGCTGCTTGAGGACATGGATCCAGAGCCAAGGGGCAGAAAGCTCAGAGAAGCAGCACCGCAGTGCGGGCGGGCCAGCTCGGGAGAGGGGCGGCAGGAGATGGGACTCTCACATGCACCGATGGTGCTATGCAAGTGTCTCTTGGCCCCATGGGACGTCACAGGAGAAAGCTGCACCATGGCAACTCTAAAATCTCTGCTCCAGAACTCAGGGGTCAGAGAGCAAGGAGGTGGGGGTGAGAAATAGGAGAGGCAGCCGTGGGAACTAGGCCTGCAGGGACTCCGTTTCCCCTCCTCCTCCACACTCTGTGTGGACCCCTGCACGGGCATGCTTGTAGAGCAGTCGGCAGGGGGCACGCCGCACCGTCCAGTTCTTCTGGTCGCGGTTGTGGAGGATAAAGTTCGTGTGGTCATGCTGGTGGCTGCCTTTCAGAGGGCCCTGAGCTCATGACCGGTTCACACACTTCATGGCCTTTCAACACAGTTCACTCCCAGCCACGGAGTCACTTCTGACCCACAGCAGCCCCCTGTCAGGTCCCTGAGGCTGTCGATGGCATGGGGAGACCACCCAGCTTGTTCCCGGGTAGCTGCTGGTGGACTTGAACCCCAGATGTGCAGCCTGCGTGTCAGCAGCACGGGACTCGCTGGACTCTGCCACCAGAGGTGCCTGAAAAGAGACTCTGCTTTCTCTGAGTGACTGACTTCTGAAATATTTCCTCTTCCTCCCAGGCTAGTGACTGTCACTCCTCATTTCCTTTCCTTTTTTAAAACTCCAAAGTGACATAAAGGTTGCCTTGCTACACCTGGCTACTGTGAGCACATGATGAGCAAGCTGTGAGCAC